GAAATTTAAAAATTGCATTTATGACCTGAGCATCCTTGTTTTTCCCCACCAAAAAAAAAAAAAAAAAAAAAAAAAAATTTTGGTTTTTCGTTTTTTTGTTGGGGGGAAAAATTGTATTCAATTATTAGTTGAGGGGGAAAATTGTAATTTTTCCTTAAAATTTCTATTGCTTTTAGTATTTTCACTTATTATAATGAACAACTTTCTTATGTTCAATTACAAGTGGATTAATAAATAACTATAAATTAATTACTCTTGAATTGTTTCATGAAACATTTTACATATGGTAAACAAGATCGATATTGAATATGACTATAAAATAACTATAAATTAATTTTTCTTTTTTCCATTCTTCATTCCTTTAACAAGTCAAATGATGTAAAAATCAAAAGAAATTTTACATATGATGAACCAATTGTTCGACTTTGGGCAATTGCCCAAGTGATCATGGAGTGGATACATAGGTGTCATGGTAATTGTTAATTTGTGATATATATATATGTCCACCCCAAAGTTTGGTAGTCCTATATAACTCATTTCATATTATTCATGGATGTTGTTTGAAAGACTTTCAATAGGATTCTAAAAATATAAATTTTACGAAAAATAAAAATGTAAATCAAAATGTAACGCCCCGATAATTTTAACCCAAACTATAATTACCAATACTTTATTTAATGTCCAATTTCCTGTCATGAGGTAGGCATTAAAAAAAATAAAATAGTACAAATTAAAGTATAATATCTAATATTAAAGTTCTTTTTCGTAATATTTTAATTTAACAATACATAAAACATTATATGAAATAGAAGAAATACAACAAATTGCCCAAAGGGGCTTACATCTTTGAAGGTGAACTTCGATTACAAATAAGTGAAATTATATCCCAAACATATAAGCCCAGTGATTATGATCACATAAAACATTCAAAGTGAGCTTTTGTGTTCCATCAAGATCTTCACCAGCCTCCAATTGGATGGAGGCACATCATCAAAACCTGAAATGTTTTGTAACGCCCCGAAATAATAACAAAACATGTCTCATGATATTCAACAGAAAAGCATAAACTTGTAAAATATTAGCCTTTCATTTATATTCCTTTACTGTACAAAAGTTTTTAGTGAATATTTTTAAATTTTTAAATATTTTTTTTAGATACACCTTACTTAGATGTATCTAAAAAAAAATTTATGAAAAATATTTTTGAAAATTGTGCCGTCGCAAATGTTCTGCTTTTTTGAGACGGCATTTTCTGCCGTCGCAAAAAGTGACTTTTGTGTTTTTTTTTTTTTGTTTTTAGTGAATATTTTTAAATTTTTAAATATTTTTTTTAGATACACCTTACTTAGATGTATCTAAAAAAAAATTATGAAAAATATTTTTAAAAATTAATAAATATATAAAAATACAAAAAAAAATGTACTGAATTATTGTATTTTTGGTGTTTAGTGAATTTTTAAAAGATTTTTTTTACAATTTTAAAATTTTTAGGTGTATTTATGTTAGGTGTGTCTAAAAATTAAAAAAAATACTTAAAATATTTTAAAAATTCAGTAAAAACAATATAACACGGAAAACAAGAAAGTATAATTTTCTCAAAAAAATTTTTGAAAAACTCTAACCTAGCATAGTGATTGTGGTTTTGAGACAGCTTCATATATATACAGTCACAAAATGGTTTGAATAAATTTTAGTACTTTTTTCTGTCGCAAAAAAAATTAAAAAAAACAATATCGTCTTACTCTTTTGATATAACATTTCTCTTTTCATTCATTTTTTCATCTTCTTGTCTCTCTGTCTCTATCTCTATCTCTTATCTTTATCTTTTTCACTCATCACTCTTTTTTCTGTCTGTCTGTTTCTCTCTCTCATTTTCTCTCTGTGTCTCTCGTCTATCTCTCTTCTCTCTATCTCTCACATCTGTTTTCTCTCGCTCATCTCTATTCTCTCTATCTCTCTCATTTCTTTTCTCTCTCTCTCTTATCTTTCTATCTCTCTCTATCTCTCTCGCTTATTTCTCTTATCTCTTTGTCTCTCTCTTTTTTTGTGTCTCTCTCTCGCTCATCTCTTTTCGTTTTATTTCTCTCTTTTTTTGTCTATCTCTAGCTCATCTCTTGTTTCTCTCTCTTTTTCTATCTCTCTCTCTCTCTGTGTCTCTCTCTCACTCATCACTTTTCTCTCTCTCTGTCTACTTGTCTATTTGTCTATTTCTCCCTCACTATGTTCGTCTTGCTCGTTCTCTTACTCCCATCTTCTTTATTTATCGAGCTCATTCTTGATTTATCGATCTACTATAAACGACGTCGCCTTACTCTTTTGAACATTTCTCTTTTCACTCATTTTTTCATCTTCCTATCTCTCTGTCTTGTCTATGTCACTCTTCTCTTTCTCTCTCTCACTCATCACTCTTCTCTGTCTGTCTGTCTATCCGTCTCTCTCTTTCTCTCTGTGTCTCTGTCACTCTTCTCTTTCTCTCTCTCACTCATCACTCTTCTCTGTCTGTCTGTCTATCCGTCTCTCTCTTTCTCTCTGTGTCTCTGTCACTCTTCTCTTTCTCTCTCTCACTCATCACTCTTCTCTGTCTGTCTGTCTCTCTCTTTTCTCTGTGTCTCTCGTCCAGCTCTCTTCTCTCTATCTCTTTTATCTCTCTCTCTCTCTGTGTCTCTCACTCATCTCTTTCTCTTACCACTTTGACCACTACTGCAAACGCCATTTCACTACCACCACTTCTACCACGGTCGCCATTTCACCTTTACGACTACCATTATTACTACCATCGCCACCATTCCACTACCACCACTACCACTATTGCCACTACTACTACTACCATTACCTCTCTTTCACCACTGCCACTCCATCTATTCTACCACTACCACAACTTCACTACTAATCTCCTTCACCATCACCACCACCACCACCGTCTCTTATCCACCACCTTCACCACTACTGCCGCTTCTTCTCCTCTACCACAAAATATTACCTCTCTTCTCTCTCTCACTTATCACTCTTCTCTATCTGTCAGTCTTTGTCTCTGTCTCTTTCTCTTTCTCTTTCTCTCTTTGTCTCTCGCTAATCTCTCTTCTCTCTATCTCTCTCATCTCTCTATCTCTCTTCTCTCTCGCTCATTTATCTTCTCTCTATTTCTCTCTCTGTCTCTCTCGCTCATCTTTCTTCTCTCTTCGTTTCTCTTTTTCTATGTCTTTCTCTCGATCATCTCTTTTCGCTCTATTTCTCTCTCTCTTTGTCTATCTCTCGTTCATATCTTGTTTATCTCTATTTTTCTATGTCTCTCTCTATCTCTTTCTCTCTCTGTCTCCCTGTCTCTCTCTCTATATCTCTTTCTCTCATTGGCCACAAAAAATTAACTTTATTTTAATTGAAAATATTATCCCTACTTCTACCAAATAAAAAAATAATAATAATTTTATATTCATTAAAATAAATATGAAACAAATAAATTTTTAACCTTACTAAATGAAAAAATAAAAATAAAAATAAAAATTCATTAACTATAAAAAAATTATTTTAATAAAAAATAATTTTTTTTAGCAATGACATCCTCCGTTGTGAAAAAAAAAATCCTTTTATTATTTAAATATTCATTTGTAATGAAAATTGGAAAAAAAAAATCAAAAAAAAAATTCATAAAAAAATCAAAAAGAAAAAAATTCCCTCTTCCAAATCTAACCGTCCATCTCTCACTCACCATCTCACTCACCTATAACAAAAGAAAAAAACCCTAATCTATAATCGGCTCCCTCACTCTCTCTCTCTCTCTCTCTCAATCTCACTATCACTCACTCACCATCTCACTGTCTCTCTTTCTCACTCTCTCGTTTCTGGCAGCCGATCATTTAACGTAGAAACTTTCTGCACCGATCACTCTCTTTCTCATCTCATCGCACCGATCATCATCGCACAGCCGATCAATCTACTTCACAGGTAAACTCTCCCAATCTCTGTCTCTCTCTCTCCCGATCGTTGATTTTTTTGTTTTATATATATATATCAGATATATATCTCTCTAATCTGATCTGATCTGTCTCCCTCACTCTCTCATCTTTCTCTCTCTCTCTCTCTCGCGATCGACGGTGAGCGGCGTCAGAGCAGCCCTGTTGTGAGGCCGATTATAGATTAGGGTTTTTCATTGCTTGATTAGCTCAGATCTAGCTCAGGTGCTCACTTTCCATACCCTTTTTTTTTTTTACTAAATATGTATATGCTCTCTCTGAGTGTTCGTTTCAATGTTGCTTTACGTTGTTATATGGTTTTGGACAAGGGTGTTTCATTGCCCTTTTGCTTCAATGTCTTGCTTTATCTTCTAAACTCTGATGATATTTTGGTGTTGCCAGGATTTAGTTTAATTAGCTTTGAAGAGTAGATTTCTTTATCCATTAGTGTTGTCGTTCCTATGTTAGCATTTTAGCCAAATCTGCTAATGCATGAACATCTTTATTGTATTTAGAAGTGTGTAGTTAATTGATTAGACAGTGGCATTTTATAACTTACGGGATTGAACTCTATATCTAACAGAATGGATAATTCAATATTTAGTTGGAAAAATGAAAGTTGAACTAATAATTCGGTCGAACTAATAATCTTTCATATTTATCAAATGGATTTAATTGATTTTTATTTAATGCATTTAATTTTTAGTATTGAATTAGGTTATAAAATATTACCTCAGTTGACATTTGACTCTAGTAATGGGATTAAATGAATAAGAATGAAAATTAGAGTTTTTAATAATAAAAAAATTAAAGCTTAGGTTAATTAGATTTCACTTAACATTTTAAAATTTAAGTCATGACAACTTGTGAGCACTTGAATTGAATTGAAGAGTTACTACACTCCATCTATACCTTCGCATAGGGCAGAATCAAGGGTGGAATTAGAAATTATACTTAGGAGGGGCCAAGGTAGAAATTTCACTCTCTCTTTGTTCTTTCTATATACATATATATATACTGGTACTGCTCTCTCTATATATATATAATGGTATGACAGGTGCAAAAATTTGTCAGGCTGAAAAGTTTAGGAAGGGTGCTTGTGAAAAGTAAGTGAAAGTTGCTTTCTTTCTCTTTCTTTCTATGTATGGTACATGCATGTGTTCTCTATTCTTTTCATTAATTTTCGCAATGGCTAGTCATACACCCCCATAAACCCTTAATTTATCTTATTTTCACACATAATATTGAGTTTTCTTATTATTTTTTAGTACCCATCATGTTCTGTTAGCATCCTAAACAGAATAAATTATTATTTTTCAACATGGTATTAGATTCCAACACATGGATATATAATCATGAATATATATATATATATAATCATGAATATATATTGTATTTGTGTGTATATTCTTCTCATTTGTTTTTGTTCTCTTTAATAAACCAGCCTGGATTTCAATAGATTACCCATAATTCTATTATGCAACTGTTTTGGTTCAAAGCTGAATATTGTTTTTCAATTTAAAGATCGACATAAGAAGAACAAGAAGAATCAAAACCCAATAATTTTTACCTCGAAAGGTATCCCAAAAGTGAAGGAGTATAATGTAAATTTAAATTTGTGTAACATGAACTACATCTAAAATGATGTATTCCGCACATTTTCGAAGTAATTTTCCGAATAATTTTTCTAGGCATGTATTGTTGTTGAATTTGAAATGTGTTGGATCTATCTCTCAGGAATTAATGGAGGCATGGAACCACCTGAGGAACCACCTGCTATCAATTTTGCATTTGTCAGTGTAAGTTCATATGTTGCATTTTTAATTCTAGTATCTACATGTAATTTCTTTTTTTGAGGAACTATTAATTTATGTGCTATGTAGGTGTGAAATGGAAGTTTGCTAATGAGTTTTGTGTTTTTTGAAGTCTGTGTTGCTTCCTGATGGAACACCGAATGTGCACTTTCGAGTAGCTTGTGGTGGGCAGAAACTTAGGGACATTATGTTGGATTCTTATATTGAATTGTATGGACCATATGTAAGTAAGGCCCCCCTCTCTCTTTTGACATTCTGCAACTACATTAACAAGTTTTGAAAGTGAAGAAAGGCTCAATTGTTTTGTTTTGAAAGTGAAAAAAAAAATGATTAATTATACCCACTGTTCTTATAATTTGCCTCGTGTCCATTTTGTCTTTTTAGTTCATTATATCAATTTTGCTTGTCAATTTATTCAAAGTGATACACTGAAAGTGCAGTATTTGAGCTAATGAATAGCTGAAATATGGTTTATGTGTTTTGAATTTTCAATCCAGACCTCTGCTAAATTGTGGGGGAGGAGGAACTTGTGGGACATGCATTGTAGAGGTGAGTTATTGATTTCGAATTTATTATTACTAACCAAGCAGAGTCCTAATCATAATTCTTAAAAAAAAAATAGCACAAAAAAGTAAATGTGTTGCCAAGTAAGATGAATTTGGAACACACATTGATTTTTCTGCGCACGTTTCTATAAAGTTGTGCATGTAGCATTATTACTTATAAAAATGATGTTATTATCACTGACATCATTTGGGTATAGCTTCATAATTATTGGTGCAATCTCACGTGGAAGGTTAAGAAATGTGACAATGCATCACTTGTGTTGTGATGGTTTTTTATTTTTTATATTCTAAAGATTTTTTCTTTTTTTGTCTTTGTTAGGTCGTTGAAGGGAAGGAGCTACTAAACCCTCGAACAGACAAAGAGAAGGAAAAACTTAAAAGGGTATTTAACAGATCATTTGCAGTCATCTAAATATACCACTAAAAATATATAAAATAAAAAAAACCTTTAATTCTACGAGTCTGTGATGTTTGTGTTAGTTTACTTGGTTCGGCAAAAAACGTGTCTAATGTTTGTGCTAATTGTACACAACTAATTGCAGAATCCAAAAAATTGGAGGCTTGCTTGTCAGACTACGGTTGGAAAACCAGATTCGAGAGGCTTGGTTTGTAGTCCATCGTCTTCCATTTTTAATGAATTATTTGATTTTAAAACTTTAGTCTAAAGTGTATCTTATTTATTTTCTAAGCAAAAAAGATTTTCAAAATTTCACGAAGCATATCTTTGGTCTGTATCAGATATGTGAAGTGCAAGGACCGTATTCTTCATGCTGTTGCTGCAGGGGTTATACTCAGTTTAGTGTTTGTGTTAAGTGGTAGTTAGAGATGAGTACAAGAAAAATAGCTTGGAAAAGAAGCTCTGATGTGCTGTAAAAAATAAGGATAGACAATGACAGATGGTTATATACATTGCCTGTAGTGCATGCGGCCCTGTTCTTGCTTCTATAATATTTTTGGGACAAGTTTTTTTACTAATATAAATTGTTCTTTAGAATACTCATGCTTGACTGATTTACATCACAAGATTGAGTGCTCAATTGGTCACATGCACATATATCTATCTAATATGATATATAAATTATTTTTTATTTTATTTTATTATTATTTTTTTGAGACGGCAGCCTATTCACCGTCTCAAATAGGGGTTTTTTGCGACGGCAGTAATGCTGTCGCAAAAGATAAGGTATTTGGTTGAAAATGATGACTTTTAGCGACGGTGTAATTTGCCGTCGCCAATAGAACTTTAGCGACGGCAACAAGTGCTGTCTCAAATAACCCTTTAGCGACGGTACTTGTGCTATCCCAAATACCCTTTTTAGCGACGGCAAAACAGTGTCGTTTCAAAAAAAGTCAGATTTTCACGCGTTAATGGCGACGGCATTTTTCCGTCGCAAAAAGGCTTCTTTGCCGTCGCAAACCAAAGGCGACGGCGTTATACCGTCGCTAAAACCCTTTTGCAACCCCTTCTGTTGCGACCCCCCACGTGCCGTCACAAAAGGCCACTTACCGTCGCAAAAAACCTTTTGAGACGGCATTTTGAGTATTTGTGACGGCATTTTACCGTCGTAAAAAATCAATTTTTTTGTAGTACCCCAAAGTTTGGTAGTCCTATATAACTCATTTCATATTATTCATGGATGTTGTTTGAAAGACTTTCAATAGGATTTTAAAAATATAAATTTTATGAAAAATGAAAATGTAAATCAAAATGTTACGCCCCGATAATTTTAACCCAAACTATAATTACCAATACTTTATTTAATGTCCAATTTCCTGTCATCAGGTAGGCATTAAAAAAAATAAAATAGTACAAATTAAAGTATAATATCTAATATTAAAGTTCTTTTTTGTAATAGTTTAATTTAACAATACATAAAACATTATATGAAATAGAAGAAATACAACAAATTGCCCAAAGGGGCTTACATCTTTGAAGGTGAGAACTTCGATTACAAATAAGTGAAATTATATCCCAAACACATAAGCCCAGTGATTATGATCACATAAAACATTCAAAGTGAGCTTTTGTGTTCCATCAAGATCTTCACCAACCTCCAACTGGATGGAGGCACATCATCAAAACCTGAAATGTTTTGTAACGCCCCGAAATAATAACAAAACATGTCTCATGATATTCAACAGAAAAGCATAAACTTGTAAAATATTAGCCTTTCATTTATATTCCTTTACTGTACAAAAGATGACATATGCATATATATATTCATAAATCCTAAATCCTAAATCTATAGCATATGCCATGCATGGGTGAACTGAAAATAAAAGGGAATACATATAAGTTTATGTCTTAATGGCTACATCTTTTCAAGATATTACTTGGTTACAACAACGTAGATCAAATCCAAAAAAATTAAAAAGCTCGAGACTTATACAAAAGAAATTTACATTGAAAGAAACAAAAATGAGCCTTCAACTCCATAGTCCTCCCTAGCTAATTCCTTAGTGGAGACATATCATCAGTATCTAAAAGTTGTTTTCTACGTGGGGTAAGTTAAAACCCAGTAGAGTTACTCAAACATGACGTATGAAACTTAACAAGGTCATATGGCGAATGCAATGCATGCCATCCTTCAAAACATTATGCTTTCTCTTTCAAAACTATACCATGTCTTAATTCACTGCTAGAAAAAGTACTTTTTGTGACCGTCACAAGCTGTCACAACTAATAAAAATACAGTCGCAAAAGACGTTTTGCGACGGCCCATGCGACTGCAAATAGGGGATGCAAATATGGGGGTGGCAAATACTTTTTGCGACGGCAAAACAACGGTCGCAAGTTATTTGTGACTGCCAAAACTACTTTTTGTGACAGTTATTTTGCGGTCGCAAAAAAACACAACACACTTTTAGCGACTTTTTTTTTTACCGCCGCAAATAATTATTTATTATAACAATCATATATACGATTGCTACAAAAAAAAAAATCAATTGCAAGCATCTAACAATTTTTTTTAATGAAAAATAACAAAATTAACAAATTAATTAAATTTATAATAGAAATATTAAACTATATTCACATATATATATACAAGTGTGCAAACAAAATATAAACTTTCATACATGCAAAACAAATATCTATCAATTATCCTTAAAATACATTGTACTAAAAGATTCAAGTCTTCAAAAAAAAAAGAGCAATAGAATCTTGGTTTGGCTCCCAACATCACCCGCTCGATCATATCAACTACTCCTTCAAAAAACCTGCAAAAACATATATCAAACTTGACTTGAAAATGTAATGCACATTAATGTGTTAGTTTAACTTGAAATAATCAAATAAAACTATTTCAAAAGAAATTGTCAAAATAAAAAAAGAGGTCATTCTGTAAATTCTTTTGCTTGGAGTAAATTACAAAAATATAGATGCCAATTCGTAATTTGCACAAATAAATAGACAAGAAAATGGTCACCCAATCCAATCAGACTAATGAATAAACTAAAATGTTTGAAAAATGAACATAATTAACATATGGTATTTTGTAAATAAAATGGGAGTCTTATAACTTGTTACAAGTAAACTCGGCCACTTAGGCATATTTAATGGATGCATATATTATTCCTTTACTCAAGTTCCAAGTGTCCGATGCAATACTTCCCAAATTTAAAAGAGTCCATGTAACATAACTTTTGAGGATATGATATAAGCATCACAAGTTTTTCTTACCAGATGAACCCCCCTTTTTATACCATGATTATGAAGTGCATCAAAATCTAGTTGAATGGATACACCTAAGAACTCTTGGCAAAGATGAATGAAAATCATGCATCACAACTACTCAATGTCCACATTTACAGCAAATGAACAGCTTATTTGTCATTTCAGCCCCAAAGGCAAGTCTATGAAAGATTATTATTTGGAAACAATTGATTCACATAAGACATACATAAGGATCCATACACCAGTTTCCTAATACAACTTCAGAAGGCTTGCCAATCAATAAAATTAAAGAAATAACCATAAGAAAAACTCACGTACCATCAGTTTTGTCCAAAAGCTCATTCAATGCGACAAGAAAGTCAAAATCCAAGACGAGTGGATGCACATGCTTTGCATTTTGAACTAAGTTTTTTGGTTTTCTGCGTCTTAGTGGCTTTGAACTATATACAAATTATGTTCATTCATTTAAGGTCATTGGCACTCAAACTAACAAAAGCAATTAAAAAATATATAAATAAGCAGAAGCAATTTATCAATTCAATAGTCAAACAACAAAATTTTATATTTATAGATAACTTACCAAAAGAAAAATGTTTGTTGCTTAGGATCAACACCATCTACAACAATCTGAGCAGAACATAATGGGGAAAAAAATCAATAAACATAGTAAATTCCTTTCAAGCTCACATCATAATAAAACATTCGCCTGATTTTGGCCATAATGCATCTGTCAACAAATAAAGGTGGAGTAGTGGACATGCATTCAGTTAAGCTATAAAAAAAAAAATATGAAAAAGCTTTTATCACCAATGTCAGTGGCAGGATGACCATGTAGCGGAATTTAGACCAACCACCTACATCTAAAATCCTTCGATAGTGTATCTGGAAGCTAATGTACTGAAAAATTAATTGAAACTTCCCAAAGAGAGACTTCACCAGGAAGTACGGCAGATGATGCAACTGCAGATTTGCACCTTACTAACCTTTTCTCATCAAGAAAAGTATGCAACTCTGGCCAGAACATGCCCCCTTATATATAAAATATATGCACATCTATAGTTATATGCACTCAAACATTTATGCAGATGTCAACAATTGATTAAATACTAAACCAATCTCCAATAGACACTTTTCAATATAGAAATAGCATCTGACCTCAGGTCTCCATATATCTGTTTTCACAGAAACGTTTACAGCTTGATAATCTTCGATGACCTAGAGAATATCAATGCTGTCAATAGCTATGGTTTGACAGAACTAAATGATTGAATGCTATCCCAGATTACTGAAGTTTACCAACCCAAAACTCAAATTGAATAGATCATGGGATGAGGGCAAGTGATATTGCAGACCCTGTACAGAAGTTGATATATTTGTTAGAATGAACCCATAAATCTAGATATTCTTTGTTCAATTCAATCCAAGCAAGGGGGAGTATGAATAGAAATCAACATCTGTTTACCTTAAAGCTTGCACATTTTACCAAGCAGAACGGGCAGAAGAAGTCTTCTGTCACTGCAAGTTAAGAGTACATATCAGATCCAAAACTCAAACTTCAAGCAATCATTCCATGCTATGTAAGCTCCAACTACAATACAGTTGCCAAATTATCAGGCAAAAAGATCAACCATAATAGACGCACAAGGTTTTTAGGGATAAGCAGTTGAAGTAAGCACTGCCATTGGGCAGAGAGAGATCCATTAAACGTTATGTAGAATTATACAATCAATACCAATAGTACTAAATCTAAATTTCTTCTCCGAGCATTGCCACATCATTCTTGTAAAGTTTTTTGTATGAATTTTAACAAATCAAGGCTCAAGTAGCATAAATCCCTTATTATCAATCATCTATCCAAAGCACCAAACAGCTAACCTAGAATTTAATATTTCATCATCTATACATGATTATGAACATAAATTGAAATTTAACGGTAAAGTTTACCTTGCAGAAGAAATGGTGGCAACACTAGTTTGGCCTGCTGAGTGT